GGGTCATAAGAAATGACAAAAGGGATGGCCCTTCTCCCATTGACTCCTCCCTTATTCCTATACTTCTCAACCCAACACACCATATCCCAACCTCCCACTCCACATCTACCTAACCCAAACTCTGTGATCTCTGGAATGCATGTTTCATAGGTTATAAACTAGATTTCATCTTAAAACTTTTCCTTTCTTGCTCATTCCATATCCCTGCACTCACTGAGACCTAGTTCACTCTTCCTGACACAGGTTCCATGGTTACCCTTTCCAGCACTGTTGGCACTTTGACTCATACCCCACAACTAACTGGTCATGGTGGGGGAGTTGGATTGCTCCTTTTTCCCCACAGCTATTTCCTGGCTTTCCTTCTAACTCAGTAACAAAGTCTCTTTCTTTGAGGTTCACATTTCAATCCAAATTTACTTACTAATCAATCTTCTGGGAGCTATTGTCTACAGACCTCCAGAACACTCCCTCCTCAAGAAGTTCAGTGCCTGGGCCACAGTCTTTTCTCCTTAATTCTTGCCCTCATACTAGTTGACTTCAAACTACATATTGATACTCCCTCAGATATGCTAACCTCCCAATTCCTCAACTTACTCATTTGCCATCATCTACTCCTCCACTCCACCTCAGCTACACACAGATAGTAATACCCTCGATCTTGCCATCATCCACAAGTGTTCCACGTTTATGAACTCTGAAATTCCTTCATCTGATCATAATCTGTGGTCATTCTACCTCTCCCTCTCTCTTGCAATTCTAAAACCTGTTCTTTGTCATCCTTACTACCTCTAATTCCTCTGCCCCTCGGTTTTGTCCTAGGTGATCACCCTTGCATTGGCTTAACTATTTTTTTTTGCTTTCCCATCTTGACTCTTTGGTGAACTAGTTCAACTCTACACTGTCCTTTTCTCTAGAGGCCCTTGCCCTTTTATCCTGTTGAAGATTTTAACCTTTCAAGACCTAGCCTTCAAATATTCCCATTGTCCACTTCCTTTGCTCTTCTTACTCATGTGCTGCTGATGGAGAAAACCATGAAACTGTTGATTAGGTCTACTACAAGTTTACATTATATAATCTTAGCTGGCCCCTCACTGCAGCAAGTCATTCTTAATCTATTCACTATTCCACTCACATGAGCAGTTTTTCCAGACTTTTCATCCCTTCTGGAACTTTCCACAGCCTCCCTTCCACCCCCCTTCCCTCAAGGGTCTTCCCCTCTCAGAGTGATTTTTTTTTTGACTAGGCAAAAGAGGCCATTTTCTTCTTCATTTCTTACCTGGCCTTAATCACTGAATGGGCATTGCCTCAGACAAAGTGAGACCTATTAAAAACCTTAGCTTAAAAAGGCCAAGGCCTCCCATGCATCCATGACCTTCCCCAGTTGTCCTGATCTGTATTTTGCCACTGGACCCAGATGGCTCCTGAGGAGAAAGTGAGGCTGGTGACTTTCCATAGCTCTCCCTCACTTAAATCCACTTCACTTGCATGTCATGGCATCACCTTCCTGATGTCATAGTCCTCTTGAAAATGAAGGACAAACAAAAACAAAATACTTTATGGAAAAAGCTGAGGCTATTTGGTGAGGATTCCCTCTTTTCCCCTCTTCATCTCACATCACCTAGATGCCCTTTGCCTCTCTCTCCTCCTTTGTCCCTGTTCCACAGGAATAGATGGCACTTCTCCTTGCCAAGGTAAACCCCTCTACATGCACATGTGATCCCATTCCATCCCATCTTCTTCAGCAGATTGCTCCTTGTATCATTCCTATTCTCACATTACTCTTCAATATCCTCTTGTCTACTGGCTGTTTCCTTCCTTTCTACAAACATGTTTGTCTCCCCCATTCTCAAAAAAACACTCAGTAGATTTGTTTGTCCTTACTAGTTATCATCCTATAGCTCTCCTCCCTTTGGTGGTTAAACTCCTTGAGAAGGCCTCTACAATAGGGGATCTCTACTTCCTTTCCTCTCACTGTTCTTAACTCACAAAGTTTGGCTTCTGACCTCATTATTAAACTGAAACTACTCTCCCCAAGGTTACCAATGATTTCTTAATTGCCAAATCTAATAGCTTTTTTTAAACTCTCCTGCTTCTTGAACTTTGTGCAGCCTTTGACACTGTCTGTTGATCAACCTCTTCTCCTTGATGCTAGGTTTTTATTCTGCTGCTTCTGATTCTCCTCCTACCTATTTGACTGCTTCTTCTTTGCCTCCTTCACTGCATCTTCATCCAGGTCATGTTCCTTAACTGTGGGTTTCCCTGGGCTTTTCTTATCTCCCTCTATACTGTTTCACTTAATCTTATCAGCTTCCCTAGATTCAATTATCATCTCTATGCTGATGATTCTTGTATCTTCTTAACTAGCCTTAACCTTTCTGCTGACCTCCAGTCTCATATCTGCAGTTGCCTACTGTATATTTCAAACTAGATGTCCCACAGACATTTTAAACTCAACATGTCCCAAAGTGAATTTATCTTTCTCCCACAATCTCCTCTCTTTCTAACTTCCCTCTCACTTTTGAGGGAACCACCATCCTCAGTCCCCTGGGCTTGAAACCTATGTGTTACCCTTGACTCTTCACTGTCCTTCACTCTCCATATACAACCAGTTATCAAGATCTGTCATTTCTACCTTCACAACATTCTCCTATATGCCCCCCTTCTCTCCTCTAAAACAGCTCCTATTCTGGTGTAGGCCCTTATCATCTCACACCTGGACTATTATTTGTAAATAACCTTCTGGTTGGTCTCCCTACTTCAAGTTTCTCCCCACTCCTATCCATCCATTGTTCTTCCTAAAACATAAATCTTACCATAGCACCACTCCCTCCTCAGAAAACTGCAATGGCTCCCTTTTATATCCAGGACCAAAAATACAATCTTATGTTTGGATTTTAAAGTCCTTCATAATCTCCTCTCATTCATGTTTCCAATCTTCTTACACCTTCCTCCCCTCCAAATGCACTGGCTCCTTGCTGTTCCTTGAAGAAAACACGCCATCTTCCTACTCTGAGCTTTTTCACCAGCTGTCCCCCATTCCTGATATGTCTTCTTTCCTCATCTCTACCTCCTGGCTTCCCTGGCTTCTTTCAAATCTCAGCTAAAGTCCCACCTTCTGCAAGAAGCTTTTTCCTGTCCTTTATCTCTTAGTACCTTTCCTATGAGATGACTCCCAATTTGTGTGTGTGTGTGTGTGTGTGTGTATCTTGGTTGTACATAGTTGTTTGCATGTTGTCTCTCCTGTTAGAATGAGCTTCTTCAGAGCAAGGACTGGTGTTTTTGTTTGTTTGTTGTTTTTTGTCTTTCTTTGTATCCCCAGCACTTAGCACAGTGCTTGACATATAACAGGCATGTAAAAATTCTAGTGAACTGACAGGGAAACTTATGAAGATTTGTATGAACTGATGCAGAGGGAAATGAGCAGAACCAACAGAACAATCTATACAATAACAACATTGTAAGGACAAACGGCTTTGAAATGCCTAAGAACTAAGAATTAATGCAATTAGCAACCATCATTCCAGAGGACTCAGGGCACAAAATGAGAAACACAATTTTTGGCATGGTCAATGTGGAAATTAACTTTGCTTTACTATATGTATTTGTTACAAATTTTTTTTTTAATGGGAGGATGTGAGATGGAGAGAAACTAGATTTTTGTTCATTTAAAAAAAATTTTTAAAGGAAGGGGTTGAATTGCAAGGTATAGTTCAGCTTTAAATCCTGTGTTGTTTTTTTTTTACTAACATGTCAGATTTTGCATTCTTTTGGCATAGCCAACGGGCACCTCCCTGCCAAAATGGAGCATTAAAATAGAACTGTGGTGGAAAATTATTAAATGGATTAATGGCTTATAGGGTCTAATTCTGCAGAGTTTAAAAAAAAAGAGGCACCAGAAAACAGTGACTTCCTCTCTTAAAAATAAACATGACAATCAGAAAAGCTTTTAGGGAAACTAGCGATGAAATTACCTATGTGATATATATGCATTATATATGCAAATGATTCAAATCTTTCTCTGAATCTTTTTCATCCTTTTATTCATAAATGGATTTTGTCCTAATTCAAATGTCATCTTTCCTGTTTGCTGACCCGCCTTTGAGATCCGTTAGTTTCTCCGCTGGTGCCTAGCCAAGGGATGTGAGCCCTGCCCTTGAGTCTCCTTCCTTTGTAGTCGCATGTGTGTGTGTGGTTGTTTTTTTTTCCTCTTTCTCTATTCCGAGCTCTTTTACGCTGATCCGCTGGAGGAGCATGTGCAGCTGCTTCTGCGCTCATTACAATGCTGAGCTAGAGTAGATGTCAGAGTAGGAGGCGTGAGGCTTCCTAGGACCCAGGAGAAGCCCGTTCCTCCGGCTCTGCATCGCCTTTAGTGCGGACCGGCGTGCGGCTTCCTCCTCCTATCGTAGCCTCAGCGCGGGCGGGCAGGCGGGCACCGGGGCTAGAAGCCGCCTCCAGCCTAGAGCAAGGGTAGCTGTGGGTGGGAAACCGCGAGCCAGAGGGGGTAGGGAGAAGGGGGGGAGGGGTGCGTTTGTTTGCCGGGCCGTGCCCTTTGCACTGATGCTCTCCTGGAAATCAGCGCGATTTGAATTTCATTATTCCCTCTATTAACGGGGTCTGTTCATTTATTTATTTATTTGAAGAGGTGGTGAGGTCGTGGGGCATTGCCAGGGCTGCAGGTTTCTCTAGGCTTGCACGAGCGGTTGCCCCGCCCCCGCACCACCCAGGCTCACGCGCCCTAGGGGAAGGGCTGTGAGTGAAGGTTGGGTGGGTCAGGCCGCGGCCCGCAGGCATCCCCAGGGTCGTCTGAGGCCTTGGGGCGCTTGCCACGCCGGGTAGCCGCACGCCACAGAGGACGGGGATTGGGAGGCAGAGCGGGCGTCCCAGGGCCGCGGCGGGGGGGAGGGGCGGGGGTGCGTGACGCGCTCGCGCGCGGGCACATTGGATGCATCTCTCCCAGGACTCCCTCCCCACCCTCCCCTCCTCTCTAAAGAGCGGCAGAGCAGGGTCGTTAGCCAGCAGCTGTAGCTTGCAGCCCCCCCGTGGGGCATTGTGTGTGTTTGTGTGCCTGCGTGGGCAGGGGGCGGAAAGGGCAGTGAGCCGGGGGCCAGCCTCGGAAGTTTGTAACCTTGCTCAGAGCAGCCTCGCTCCTCCCGAGGCTGTTGCAGTCAGCGGGAGTTAGGAGGCTTTGGGGAGTATTGTGTATGCGTGTGGGGCGTCAGGGAGACTGAGAGGGAGGCTACAATGGGCACCACCAGGCACAGCTGGCACTTGTAGAGCCGGGCCGCATCCTGAGCCAGGCAGGCTCGCTTATTTGGCTGCAGCTCCGTTTACACCCCTCAAAGCCATCACCCAGGAGAGAAGCGTAGTATGCTGGACCTAGGGGTCCCAGAGCCTTAAGGTGCATTCAGACAGAGTGCTGAATCCCATTTCCTTTGTGACTTAAGTGTCTGAGGAGACTTGGTTGGCATATTTTTGGTGAGAGGCTTAGGGGCTTTCCCACCATTTCAATGGCCAACACACGGAGTATTGAGCTGGAACATTTTGAGGAGAGGGACAAAAGGCAGCGGCCAGGTTCCAAGAGAGGGGGGCCCAGCTCCTCAGGGGGCAGCAGCAGCTCAGGCCCCAAGGGGAATGGGCTCATCCCGAGCCCTGCACACAGTGCCCACTGCAGTTTCTACCGCACCCGGACCCTGCAGGCCCTCAGCTCCGAAAAGAAAGCCAAGAAGGCCCGATTCTACCGGAATGGGGACAGGTACTTCAAGGGCTTGGTATATGCCATCTCCAGTGATCGCTTTAGGTCCTTCGATGCCCTCCTCATGGAGCTCACCCGCTCCCTATCAGACAATGTGAACCTGCCTCAGGGAGTCCGAACCATTTACACCATTGATGGCAGCCGGAAACTCACCAGCCTGGAGGAGCTGGTTGAAGGTAAGAAAGTGGCAGGTGGCAGCTCCTCGGGTGCTGCCGCAGGATGCTGTGGTGGAGCAGGTGGAACAGCAGGGAAACTTATATAGTGAATTCCCTTCCATTTGCTAACTCTTCATCCTCTTGTGTGGTGTTTCCCCTAAGGCTTTCCCAGCTATTGAAGCCTCTTGTGTGTGCTCCTTTGCGTACTGTGTATAAAACTCACATATGCTCTGTTTGAACTTATAAAACCCTTTTGGTGACAATCAGACTGGGATCCAATATTTACCTTAAAGTTCTTTATTATGTTTCAAAGATCAGCTCAAATACCACCTTCTATTTCCTGATTTCCCCCTCCCCCCCACCTTAGGTACCAGTGTACCCTCAACTACTTTCATTTATTTTCTGTATACACACTTACATGTGTATATGTTGTTTCTTCCCAGTAGAACGTAAGTTCCTTGAGGGCAAGGACTGTTTAGTTTTTGTCTTTATATCCCCAGTGACTAGCACAGTGCTAGTACATAGTAAGCGCTTAATAAATTCAGAATGAACAAATGAAGTACAAACCAATACAGAGAAGCAACTTTCTCTGCAGAGATCTGTACGTCCCTTGTACCATTTAGTTCATTCACTCAGCAAACACTTGACTGGCTACTGTGCCGGAACCCTATGCTTGGCATTTGGGAGATTAAAAACTTAGAAAAGGCATAATTCCTGGATTCTCTTGGAATTTATCCACAGGATCAAAGGCTGAGAACTGCAGGAGGCCTTAAAAGGTCTTCTAGGTGAATCCACTTGTTGTTCGGCTGGGATACAGCTAGATACAGTGGGAAGAGCGCCGGATTTGGAGTCAAATGGCCTGGATTCAAATTCCAGTGTCCTCTGGCTATCATCTTTGTGACCTTGAGCAAGTCTCTTAATCTCTCTTAATCCTCATTTTGCTCACCTGTAAAATGAATGGATTGGATCACATGTCCTTTAAGGGGTCTTCCAGATCTAAATCTGTGATCTTATGACAAAACTGAGGTCCAGAGTGGTTACTTATAGTGTGTGCTGTACACACAGATGACTATAATATACAAACTCACATGATAAGCATTTTTCGTTGTTTGGTCGTTTTTCAGTCATGTCTGACTCTTCATGACCCCATTTGGGGTTTTCTTGGCAAAGATATGGGAGTGTTTGCCATTTCCTTCTCCAGCTCATTTTACAGATGAGGAAACTGAGGCCAATAGAGTTAAGTGTCACATAGCCAGTGTCTGAGGCCAAATTTGAACTCCTAAAGATGAGTCTTCCTGACTCCAGGCTAGCAGTCTATCCAGTGTGCTACCTACTTGCCATAAGCGTTTTAAAGAAGTACAAAATAAAGTGGTATTTAAGGTAGAGGAGAATTGAAGATTTCATGAATGAGATGTCATCTGATAAATAAGGCTTTAATGTACTTGGAACATGCTTTACTTATTTGATCATTGTCCTTAAAACTCTCTGGTCTGTCTTTTTCAATGGAGCATCTGTGAGTTTAGATCACACACATCTAGGAATGTGATACAGGTTTTTCTGAGTAGAGCCATTTTATTTGTGAGTAAAGGAAGTGTCTACATATATCTGTACCTGCAGAAAGAAGACTGGTGCAGAATTATAAGTAAAGACCATTGGACACAGTAGATGATGACTGAATGAATAATCTCTAAATTTTCAACTTTCTTTCACTCAACACAGGGATCCCAGGACTACAGGAAAAGGTCACTTTATTTTAGTTGAAGAGGTGTTTGTTTTTTTCAGTTCTTCAACAAAAGGGGGATACAGTGAAAAAACAAGATTAAATCCCTGCCTTCAAGAATTTTACAGTCCAAAAGGGAAAATAAGATAATCTTTAAACATGAATTAAGCATCTATAGTTTACCAGTGCTTTGGGCTAAGTGAGGAGATAAAAAGACAGAAGTGAAAGTCTCTACCTTCAAGGAGCTTACATTGTAATATGGGAGACAACATGAACAAATTGAAGTATATACAAAATTGACACAAAGTAGTGTTGGGAGGGAGGATCCTAGGAGTCAGAGAATCAGGAAAAGCTTTATATAGAAGGTGACACTTGAGCTGAATTTTGAAAGTAGGGATCCTAAAAGTTAACACCGAAAGTTAAAGGTGAGGAGAGAGTGTATTCTGGGTATGGGGATCAGTCATAGAGGTATGGTGGCAAGATCATGTGTGAGGAATGGCAAGTAGGCCAGAATGGCTGGACCAGTAACAGTAATATGAGTTATAAGTTCATTGGAGAGAGCCATGTCAGTGGTTTGAAAGATATGAGGAGGGAAAGTTTTTTTTTTCCTTATTCCTGGGGACCTCTGGAAATTCAGGAAGACCTGAATTGAGCCTTGGAGGAAGGGAAGGATTTCAAAAGGAGTTAGGCAGATATTCCAGGATTGCTTTACTGTATAGGTAAAAACAGGGATCTAGATGGGAAAGGACTGATGAGTAATCCATTTTGCTGGAACTGTTGTGCATGAAGTGGCAATGAGAAGGTTGAAATAATGATATTGAGGGATGAAAACCTGGTTTCATGTTTATATGGCATCCAGGAAGATGAGACAGAGCTAGATTACGTTGATCCTAACTCCAGTATGGTATGGTGGAAAGTGTTGAATTTGGAGTCAAGTACTTAGGTTCAAATCCCAGCTTCCTTGCTTACTCCCCGATGCATGATCTTGTTAAAATTTTTGGGCCTCAGTTTCCTCATCTATAAAATGACAGATTTGGGCTAAATGATCTCTGAGGTCCCTTGAATTCCTTAGTCTATGAACCTAAGATCCATGTACTTAATGTTTTTGTATATGTTATTGTTCAGTCATTTTTCATTTGTTTCTGAGACTCTATTGATCCCTTTTGGGGTTTTCTTAGCAAAGATACTGGAATGGTTTACCATTTCCTTCAGTTCGTTTTACAGATGAGGAAACTGAAGCAAACAAAGTTAAGTGACTTGCTTAGGTTCACACAGCTGTAAAGTGTCTGAGGCCAGATTAGAACTCAGGAAAATGAGTCTTCCTGACTTCAAGCCTGGCACTCTATCCACCTTGCCACCTAGCTGCTCCTTTTTATATATAGTCAACTGTTGATTACATGTAAGTAAGGAGAGGGCAAGGATGCCCATAATCCCAAGTGACAGTGTTCAAAAGCTAGTTCCTTTTCACTCATATTTCTTGGAAGTCACATTTGAAAATAGATGTATCTTTTCTGAGAATTCCCAACACTTTTAATATACTTATTAAAGCTATACTGAAAAGATCCTTTTCAGAAGTCAGTCAATAGGCATTTATTAAGTGCTTACTGTGTGCTAAGCTGGAAAATTGTCCAACTTCTCCATTCAATGATCACTTTCTTGCTTGATCACTGTTACCTGATACAGGGAGACTAGCCTAAACTAATTTACACTCCCGCTTTCTAAACCTATTTTATTTGCGATTTTTTTCCTCCTCTGCTTTTGGTTGGGGGAATTAATTGTGCATTTTGGATTAAGGCCTTCTTTTGTTGGGAAAAGCTGTAGGGGAGTAAAAGTAGAGGCCAAAACCAAGAAACTGGTAATTTCAACAGAGGATTTCATCACTGAAACTCAATTATGTTGATAAGAAATTGAAAAAATTATTTGGGTAATCACAAATTGAGAGGTAGGATGATATGGTGGAAAGAACACTGGATTGGGAAGCAAGGGAATCTGGATTTGAATCTTACCTCTGCTATTGCTACTGGTGTGAAATTGGACAAGTCACATTCCTTTTCTTCACCTGTTTGCTACCTGCAAAATAAGGGGGTTGAATTAGATGACCTTCAAGATCTCTTTCAGTTATAAACAGAATCTATGATTTGATTGTGAATTAGCCTTTTGTAGATTAAACTAATTGATTTAGGAAGTGTATAAGTCCATATCAGGTTTCTCCTGCCATCTACAATTCCCTTATATTTGACTGATTTGGCATCACTAATTTTGTTGGTGGAATTTAATTCTAATATTATTACAAATACAGCAACAGCAGTGGTGTAGTGCATAGAGAGCTGGCCTTGAAGACAGAAGACCTGGCTTTAAATCCAGTCTTTGACAAATACTGGCTGTGTTACCCTGGGTCAGTCCCTCAATTTCTCAGTCCCCTAGTCAGATATCTAAGACTACACAGTACAGAGAAAGTGTTGGGGCTGCACTGGTATAGTGAGTTTATGCATCTGGTAGTTGCCTCTAGCCATGAACTCACAGGCCTAGTTCCCACCTTCTATTATCACTAACCATAAATTTCCTGAATGAAATTTGTGTGATGTGGAAAGACCACTGGACTGAGAGTCAAAAAATCTGGATTAGAATTCTGGCTAAACTACTTACAAGCTATGTGACCTAGGGCTATATCTTTTACTTTTCTCAGCTTCAGTTTTCTTATTCATAAAATTGGGATATTATTACATGCTTTACCAGTCTCACAGGGTTGTTGTGAGAAAAGTGCCTTTTGAGCCAGTTGTTATGTGTTCCAGAGGTGAATGCCAGTCCATTAATTTGTTTTTTTTAATTGAGTAATCATATATTCACAGTGTATGTAGGCACACACAAAAGATCTTAATTTCCTAGGAATCTCCCTGTATGGGAGCACCCTTCATGAGATCACAACCTTTTTTGAATAATAGCTCTCAGTTAAGTGACTTGCTCAGGGTTGCAGAGCTAATCAGTTTCAGAAGTGAGATTTGAACTCATGTCTTCCTAAGTCCAAGCCCAGCTTGGTATCTGCTATATCATGATGGCTAACTTCCTTGTCCATTCATATTTAAAGTACCCAATGGCTGCCTGGTTCACTGATAGAGGTATCAACCAAGTTTGTGGTAGAAGAAAGGGATCTGAATTAGAAAACAGGAAGCCTGGGTTCCATTCTGTACTCTGCTACTATATGGCTTTGGGAAAGTCAACAACCCCATTGTGGGCCTCAGTTTCTTCATCTGTAAAGTGATACTTACCAGATAGCATGACATCTAATATCCCTTCTGGCTTT